GACACCCCCCCCCCGCCGTCCCGCCACCCTGCCTTGCGCAGGATGTCGAGGCCCTGCAGCGCGTTCCTCTGGCCGGCCAGGATGTCCGCCACGTCACCAGACGCCAGGTAGGCGCGGTACAGCGCGCGCTGCTCCGCGGTCAGCCCGCAGAACAGGACCTGCGTACAAGAAGGGGGGGGGGGGCGACGCAGCCAGGCGAGTGAGGACGTACAATATGGAGCGGGACGAGCGGCGGCACGGCGGCACGGTCCTGTAAGCTTGAACGGGCGATATGAAGGTCTGCGAAATCCCGCGGCCAGACATGCCAATGCCGCGTGCGCGATGCAGATCGGCCAGGCCGTGCCAGCGCTTTGGTTCGGGCCATGCCGGCACCTCGGTTCCCAACAGCCAAGCACTCTGCTCTGGGCATCTCGACCTGGCAGCTGGCCAGCTCAACCCGGCTCCACCCGGCCGTGCCCTCCGCGCCCCCACCGCTCGACCCACGCGCCTGCTCTGTCTTCTGGGGCAGGCTGTCCCCCAGGACGTCCTTCTTGAGGCGCCGCAGAAGGTAGGGGCTGATCAGGTCGCGCAGCACCACGGCGCAGCGGTACGCGGCCTGGACCTGCGGGGGCAGGGTGTGTGCACATGCGTAAGTAAATCTCTGTGTGTAAAACGCAGGCTGCTGCTCTAGTTGCCGGGGCAGCTGTCATGGTGCGTGTTGGTGCTGATGAACGGACACATGTTTGGCGGAACGGCAGTATCTTTGTCAAGTGTGTAGCGGGTGGGGCGGCAGCGGCGCGGACTTTGCAACGGCTGACTGCACAGCGTGAGTGTCGAGGCCGTCAGGGCCGTGAGGAGCAAAGAAAAGGGCGCCCTTCCATGCCCGGAATCGTGCAGCTGCACTTTGCACACTGACTAGCCCCAAGACGGGCAAGCCCCGAAAGCAGCCAGCACCCACGAGCATCCCCCGCCGCGCCTGCAGGGTCGACGCGTTGACGTAGCCACCGACGGTGATGGGGATCGCGAACTGCGCCGTGAAGACGGGCAGGGTGCCCAGCTTGCCCGGGAAGATGAAGTCAAAGAGGGACCACATCTCCTGCAAGTGTTGAAACGGGCGTGAGGTGCTGAGTGAAAAGCTCTTTGCCAAGTAAGCATCAGGCATGGAGTTGCGCCGGGCACTGCTAGACAGCATTGCACACACAGATTGTGGACCCCCCACAAAGTGTCGGCGATTCAGGGGGGCCCGCTGCGAGTGGCACCAGGGCACAAGGAGACGGTGGGCAGGCCGCAACGGCGGGCGGTTGCAGGAGGGCGCCGCGGCAAAGTGCTGGGCGGCTGCCCCTCACCTGCAGCCTGTTCTGGATGGGCGACCCGCTGAGCACGAGGCGGTGCACGGTCTGCAGCTGCTTGGCGGCCAGGGTGATGTCAGCGTCCGGGTTGCGGATCTTGTGGCCCTGGGGTGGGTGGGGGGGTGGGGGGAGTGGGTGACGTGGGGGGGTGGGGTTGGGGTGATGTGGGGGGGAGTGGGGTAGAGTAGGGTAAGGTTGGCGGGGGAATGGGTTGAAAAGTAGAGGACGAGGTGATGAGCCTAGCAGGAGATAAATTTAGGCGGGAGATTTGATTTGAGAAGGCATGGACGTCTGGGGTACGCGCCCTGACAGAAGCCTGCAGGAAACCATGAACCACAGCGCACCAGCAGCGAGGGCGTGTGTGAAGGGCAGCAAGATGTGACCCAGCAATCAGGAAAGCCAGGATTTCCAGCCTCCCGCTTGCCTGCATAAATCGGCCTTTGTTGTGACACGTCACCACCTCAATTGCGTCCCCTCCCACACGCCCCCCCCCCACTAACACACAGCACACACACCACACACTATGTGTGTGTCCCTGAAGGGACTGGCCCTGCGCCCTGACCCACCTCGTCCAGGACGGCCACCCCCCAGCGTGGTGGCAGCATGATGTCACGGTGACGCCGCAGGCTCTCGTACGTGGTCAGCACAACAGAGCAGTCCGGGGACTGTGGGAGCAGGGGTGAAGATGGTCAAGGGCCTCTTCAGTTGGCGCGTGTCTGGCCGGCTTGACTGGTCCCTGGGGGTTATGTTGCTGGCTGCTGGGGCGCGGGCGTACAGAATCAGCTTGGCTTTCAAGCATGATGATATGGCACAAGCTGCACGGCTCCTGTTCCCAACAAGCCAAAGCCAGGAGGATCTGCTTTATCATTTAGAGCGGTCCCTGCCTGGCCACACCTCGACACACCACATATGTCACACACACACACACACACACACACACACATGCGGTGTGCGCGTGCGCCCCCCCCCCCCAAAAAAAACCCGCAGCCCACCTCCTCCAGCGCGATCCTCAGGATCTCGGCCTTCCCCGGCCGTGCCGCGCCCGGCGGCGACCGCCCGCTGTCGTGCAGCAGCAGCGCCCTGAGCGGCGGGTACCACGCGCGCAGCTCCCGCACCCACTGGCGCAGCACTGTGG